TAACCAGAGAACATTTTATAAGTGTTGACTGGTAAATAGAAATATTCTTATTTTTTATGACAGTAAGAAGACATAATAAATATACTTTATTACAGCTGAAGTCATCATTTTTCAACTAGCTAAAGTCTAAGTTACAGGCTGACTTCAGGTCTGGTTTAGATCATTGTTACTTATTAATTATATATTTTCCTGGTATAAATCTGCTGTTTTACATGATTGTTGAATGAAATTAACATAATTATAAATTTATTGTAAAAACATGACAGATGATCTGTGAAACAGATCCAGTTCAGCTGCTGTTTATCTATTAGTTTCTATAGAGGCTGTGAACTGTTGCCCTTTTAAGACGCCATTTCTGCTCCTCCATGCTGTCACAGAGGCTACCAGTGGACGGTGTGGGCGGGGCCCAGTCTAGTGATATTTAAGTCTATGGCACTAGCCAGCACCTGTATAATTTGTAATTTGCTAATCACTAAAGCAGATTTGGTGTTTGTCTTTTTAACTCAACTTTTATGTGGCTTTAATTGACCAAGTCAGTCATTTTATTCTTATTTTGGTGCAGAACTGAAACCAGTACATTGGATCAAACAGAACCCAACCCTGCTGAGTTAAAACGACCCACAACTTAGCTGCGTTCAGTCCAGTCAGAATTAAACTCTTCTCTAAAGTGAAGGAGCTGTGGTGAAAATGACCAAAGGACAAAAGGAGGGTCAAATTTTATGCTGACTCATCGTACACAGAGAACAACCAGACAGCTTTTGAATGGAAAACATTGACAGAGTGCTCCAAGAACAAAAGTTGGGAAACAGGCCAACGAATTCCTGCTGGATGAGTAATTTCCTGGTTCCATCACTCCAGCTGCTGAAGGAGAAGGCTGCAGAGAGGGAGGCCAACCGGCCGTGTCTCACTAAAGGAAGGCAGAACTGTTTGCTACAGAACACACTTGGCATGAATTTCCACAACAAGACGTCCCACTCACACCAGTTTCCTGCTGTCTTGCCTCACTGAACAAGAACCCACTGACCACAGCCGGAGGAGGGTCTCAGGTTCCACATAACTGTCTCCATTTCAGCTAAACATGGACACACACACTCAGGTTTGTTTTTATGTTCTCGTAGGGACCATGAATTGACTTCTGTTCATTTTCTGGTCATTTTACATCATAACCCTGACCATTCGCCCTAAAATTAACCTCACCTCACAACTAACCTAAACTCAATTCACACCTTGAGGTCACACCTTGGTCCTACACCCCCCCCCCCCCCCCCCCCCACCGACACACACACACACACACACACACACACACACACACAC